ATACACTTTCAAAATGTCCCGACTTTATGTGTTTAAATGTAAGCCTAAAATGGATCTATTGTAATGATGTCCAAACAATTTCAACACACACACTACAATCACACTGGTGGAGCTATGCTCAGCAACTTGGTGCATTTCACACAGTGTTTTATGGCCAATTGTGTCTACAACACAAACCACAGAGCACAGAAGCTACACTGAATGCACTGAAATCTCATTTTTATTTAAACATCACTTACTGAACTACTGCTCAGCTACAAAACAAATCCACAACTGCTGTGAATGAGACAAAAAGCTATCAAGGCAGGCAGTGATGTGCATGTTATTCTGAAAAGCCAGTAGTTCATGTACTCTGTAAGTTAAACTGACATTAAAAACACCTGACACAAACCGGCCAACTATGAAACTCTTCGCCAGTTAAGTGAATGCTATTGATCATACTGTTACAGTGGATCACTCTGCTGAGGAATCTGGGATCCTTGCATTCATGTGGATGTTACTGTACATCAGTAAAAACTGCAGCTGGACAATATGCTCTGGACCTCAAGAAACAAAAACAAGGCACTGTCCTCATCCTCTAAATACCCTAAGAAATCCCATGTACATGCCCCAAAAAGTGAGAGCTGTCTGGGAGGCATAATGGACACAAACACTGTATTTAAAAAACGAGGCTGTGTGACCTTCTTCATAGTCCACTTCTCATCATTGAGACAGGGAGTGGATCTACATGTACCTATCAGAGCATGGCTAGCCATCATCCACCATAATGTGTGTCCCAAATACAAAAACACTCAGAGAATGATGGGAAATAAATAAGAAATAGCAGCAGGAGGGCCGAACTCAAATGCAATGACTGATTTAGGCTGCTGCAATTAATAAACACAAATTGACAGAACATAAAAAATGGATTCAAGCCATAACAATTTCAGTCTTTTTACTTTAACACATACATACCTCTATATATCTATCTATCACTGACTGGCTCAGCTCCCTGTGCTGGGCCACCTCTCAATGACCATCCAGGTGGAAAAGTTATATTATCCTCAGAATTGTTATGCAGGGGGAAACTATATAATAAAGCCAGGAGCTTTTCTTTCAAGCTGTAAATATGTTTCTTAAAGCTGTAAAGTTGGCCATTTAAAAATGGAGTCTATTGGGACTGATTTGCTTTTGGAGCCAGCCTCAAGTGGCCAGCATTTTTGGCACTTCCGCATTGGTTTAATTCATTTGCTGTCTGCTCAGTGCAGAGGTGTGTGCATGCATTCAGATTTGATAGGAATCAAAATTTTCCATCAGGGTCGATATACGTAGACGTTGGATACTGGGTTATGTAAATGGCCACTATTTAAAGCCCTCAGTCTCTTAAACACCAACAACACACAAAAACAAACACTCCTTTTTCAGAGAGTCAATGCTTTGTAATAACACTCAGTTTTCTAGGCGGAAACCAGACACACACTTTGAGTGTTTGACGTGGACAAAGACTGTCCTGTGATGAAAAACTGTCTTTTCTTAATTTTGTAAATTAATTGCCCTTTAGAGACACCAAATACCGCAGACTTTCCATAACAATAAGAAGATGCAATTTTGGAAATATTACTCAGTCACACCCACATGAAGCTTTAATTATCACATTTGTCAGTCATTTCAGTGAAACCTGTTTTCATGCTTCGATGTTGTGACTTACTCATTGATCTTTTTGTCCCCCTGGTGGATTAGATGCAGGTGAGAGCTGTCTAGTAGTCCCTCTTGCTGGAGAATGAATGTGTCTCCATACAGACTCAGCTTCTGCAGATTTCTGAATAGACAAAGACACGTACAGTTAGAGAGAAAAAAAAATTGCAGTTATTACTAGAACACCTGTATCAACAGCAGCAAGTCAGATGAGTCATCCGATCCAAACAACTTAAAAAAAGGTTTCAGCTGTTAAACAAACTGCAGCCATGTAGTAGTAGACTAGTAATTTAGTCTTCACTTCTCCTGAGCTGCTTTCTATCCCGCACAGAATTATGGCTGCCCTGCACTTTCCCGCAGTGCTGTTGAAAGCCCTTTATATGCTGGCACCCAAAATAGATTGGCAAAGATCAAGCAGCAGTGTATACGCCAAAGTTGATTCTTTCGAACACTGATGCCGTTAATGTAAGCATAGTGGTCACAATGCAGCCAATTACCTTGTTTCAAACAGACGATCTACACCTCTTTTGATAGTAATGTTTGGAAGATCACCAACATAAACGTGGCGAAAAGCAGAAAGGACAAATTTCTTTATAGGACCGGTTACAAACATAAGAGGGAAGGGCAGGTTTATCTGCAAATAGGATGACATTTTCTTTCACATCAGTGTTGTTTTGGCTAAATGAACCAACAGGATTAAGAGGCAATAGATTTATTCATGTTATAAACGTATTGGAAAATTTACATTTTAAGCCATTTTATCACTTCAGTTTAATTTGGTCAGACATAAGTTACAATCAAATAACTGCAAATGACAATAACATGTATATGAATATCTTAAGAAATCAGTTAACACAATTATTTTTACTGTTTTCATAATGATTGTGCTTAAAGTCAGCATCCCTATGAATGATAATGACGACCTTTAAATAGTCCAACAGTACAACGACACAAGATACCAACAGCCATTACATTATAAACAAATATGAACCTTATCTGGGTAATGTGCAGTCTTCAAATAATAGTCAAACAGGTTCCATTAACCCAGAATTTCATAATTAGTGCATCCCTACAATCAACACTTCGCAAAGTGCCATCATTTATTGAAAACAGTTCCTGTTGTAGGCCATTTTCCCAACATTTTTAAATGTCTGAATTAGCCAACTCAATACTGATGGGAACATATCCCCTGCATAAGTGTCGTACATGCACCAGTGCAACCACAAGGGTTTCATACAGCCGCACATGGCACAGGCGTACCTGCAAGGTGAAGCGCATGTTACGTTTGATGTACCCACTTCCTGTGTATCAGCTGAGAGTTCAGGTTTATGGGCTCATGTGCAGCTACTTAGTGCCCTTAGAAAGAAACAACAACTTGTCTGTTCTCATTATTCGGAACATACGTCAGTGCTGGTGGAGCTGGCTCAGTGCACTAAATGAAAGGAACAACCCCCCTGCCCCCCCCCAAAAAACAACAAAAAACAAACAAAAAAACAGGCTTTTCATTACCCAATAGCGAGCTCTGAAGTTAGAGGTTGTAGTCCTGATCTTTTCAAAACTACCATGCACAAAACAGACCACAGTTCTTAGATTCTCATAATGCTTCATCACCATGATGAGATCAGTGGAACAAGTTCATCCATTTATTTCAGTTCTGCTTTCCCCACCAAGCCCACTTTCACAATTCTACATCTGGATGAACCCAAATTTGTCACATTTTAAAAGTGTGTTTGAATAAATCAGGTGTCTGGAAGTGGATTACCACAGATAGATCATTATTGGTGTCTGACTATATGTTGCCTGATACACACCTATAGTCAGTGAAAGTGTTGTGTAGGAAGTGGGAGAACATCCTTCCTTTGCCGCTGAAGCTTATAAAAACAACAGCCTGTTACTGAACTGAAACGTTATCAGTTAAAAGACAGCATTGGCACCAAATGCAACTTTCTGGATCTAGCTATTAAAGCTGTACACCAGCAGGGAAGTGGGAAAGGGTTTAAGTTGTCCTTAAACTGAAACAACTTTAAAACAAACAACAAAATAATGTCAAATATGTCAACCCCTTTAGTAGAATTAAGACAAAGCAACCAGTTTTGAATGCCAGCATCACAAAACACTGTAAAGAAGACGGGAGAAGGTGGAAAAAGGTGTGACACAGCTGCACCAATGAAATTAGAAGCGTTAACAGTGTCAAATTTTGACAGAGTAGGAGAAATTATCCTTTGTGTGTGTGAGAGAGAATATAAGTGATCACGTCCTACAAACGGACAACAGGCTAAATACATCCACACACTGTATATGTGTGTGTGTGTCAGTGCTGATATCAGCAAGTCACAGCCAACAAAGCCTTCTAGTCTCCACCAGTGCTGCATTGTACCTGCTGCTATGGAGAGACCATAATGAGAAGTGTAAAATAGGACAGGTGACAAAAGGCATGCAGATGCCTCGCACATGCACCACCATTTAATTTATACATGCAAAGGTGCCCTTAATAAACCATATGCATAACGCTTGCTGCCACTGCAAAGACATGGCATGATTACGTAACTCTTAATGCCAGGGTTTGTTTATAGCTAACTGAGCTAGCCAGTTGCTAGCTCACTGCGACGCATCTAAACCCGAGAAATTTAAAAAACAAAACAAAACAGGGCGAACATGTCAAGCGAATTTTTCACTCCAATTAAAAATATCAAAGCAGACATTTTCAGAGGTTATTTTCTAGAATTACCTATTGTTTCGGATGCTGGTGAACACACATAACACCTGGTCCAAGTAGGTGGCCACGGCATCCCTCCATCGCTCCTTGTGCTGCGGGTCGCTATCGGGACCCGGAGGCTGGTCCATTCTGGCGGACGACGGGTCGCTGTTCTGATGGCTAAGGTTTCCTTCCACCGGTGCGAGCTCTAGCTGCAACTCTCGCACAAAAGAGCCAAACTTTCGCATAAGGAACTCAAGCTTCGGGGTTTCGTCAGAGCTGGAGCATCCACCACCACCTATTCGCAGTTTGAGCTCGGTCCACAGCGCGGGGTAGAACAAACACTCCCTCCAGCGAGAGCACACAGCCGAGGCCCGGAGCTTGTCTCGGTCGGACAGAAAGGAGAATATGTGGACAATAAGCTCGCTGGGCAAAGCCATGGCTCCGACACCCCCGCACAGAGCCATGGCGAGCTAAAAACGGCAAAAGCTGCTGTCGAAAAACCAACCAGACGTAAACGAAATGTCACAACCGTTTATTAAAGCGACGAGGTAGCAGCTGCGAATAGCAGCGACGTTTCTTCCTCTCGGCAAAAACAAACCGTTTTCAGCTTTGCCTTCAATACTACTGGAACGTACCACTCCACCGAATTACACGGGGACGGAAACAATCTCCACAAACCTTATCCAAGCATCCATCGCAGGTATTTCTTTTTTATTTCCTAACACTAATATTTTATTCTACCATGCTGATGACTTAGTGGTATTTTCATCAGATTTGGGGTAACCCGTGGCCGCATCGATACCTTGTCACTTGAATGGTTTCATCCGAAGGTGTTGTTATTTTTGCCATACTGACGTGCTCCGTTAGAGGGCAGTGTTTCTCGGCTGGAAAAAACCCGAGCCTCCACATGATCTTTATTTTGGAGTTCCAGCACGACACACCCCCTCCAGTTCATGCCACACTCAAAAAAACAGAAAGAAAAAAATTACAAGGACAAATGCATGGTATGAAAATAATTTGCACAGCATATTTTTAACCAATGAACTGCATCCAATGTGAAAAGTCTGGAAGCAAAAACTGAATGGTAATGGGAGTTTTATTTTTTTAATGTCATTATAGAAGACAAAAAAAATGATATAACTGTTAATATACTCCTACTGTAATGTACGTAAACTCTAAAGTCCCTGAAAAAAGATGAAATGTGTTTTGACATACTAACTGGAAAGGTTTTCTTGAAGACGTTTCACCTCTCATCCGAGAAGCTTCTTCAGTTCTAAGAGCAATTGGTGGAGAGTCCCGGATTTTTTCCCCATTAATTTTCTTTTGCCTTTGCTTTGTTTAATTTGGTTATTTTGTGTTCACTTTCCGGATATGCCTTAGCCTTATCGGGTAAGGTAGTTATTTGCAGTCATTTGATAAGTTAAAATCTCTCTGTGACTGTCTATTTTACCTTTGATGAAATTTTTATAACCATAATGAATGATTGTTTAACTTAAACATAGTGACACCAGTGCGTAAAGTGTAAAAGGTCAAAAAAAGCAACTCATCATGCCCCGATCTAAAGAAACAAAGTAAGTGACATCTATCTAAAGGCTTATAAAGCCATTTTTAAGGCTTTGGCACTGTGGTCTCCAGCGAACCACAGTGAGCGCTATTATCCACAAATGGATTGCGTTTGGGATCATTACTTTGCTATAACGTCCACACTCGTTTCATCTGCATCATCCTTGTAGATGGAAGCAAATTTTTTTTTAATCAAGAATGTCTCGGTACATTTTTCCATCCATCCTTCCTTCTATTATATGACAGCCCAGCTCCATGATTTGTGTCAAAGTAACTCAGGATAAAACACAGAAAAACATGAAGGAGATGTTCCTGGCCTGGGTTTTTATAGCAGATAACATTAAAAATATCCTGCAGTACATCAAAAACTGAAGAAAACCAATGACCATATGAACATTACCTGATGCTGCTGAAGTGAAGCAGAGCAAAGCAAAACCTGCAGTTTTAGAATCTAGCGCAAAAAAGACGTAAATAAAGAGCGCGGACCCCACACATCAGAATCAGCGAGCTGTCGACTTTCAGCCCCGACCGCGTTTCCGTGTACATGCTGTCGGGTGAGAAAGCCGACATCTCACAGATTCTGATGCGTCGGGTCTGCGCTCTGTGTCTACGTCTTTGTGCAGAACCCGTGTACCTGCTCTCATTTACTGTTTTAGCTGTTTGGTGGTTGTCAAAATTTTGTGAGGTTTAACCTGAGATTCTGGCATTTCGGGCAACATAAATTTATATTTAAAAATCGATTCAGGATTTTAATGAATCGATATCATGTTATCCAAGCTAGAATCGATTTTAATCATAACCCACCCCTAATAGACAGACTGTTCCTCCTGAATCCGTCTTAGTAGGTAATGTTAAAAATAATTTTATCATTCAAGTGTTTTCAGTGTGGGAGAAAGTACTCAGGGCCTTCAAGTTAAACACTATGAAAGGCAGCAACAAGTTGAATATTCAGAAACCTAAAGTATGTATCAGCAGCAGAATGGACCTAAAAATAAATGTCCATGTTTTAGTTATATGAAACTGAGTATTTTGGATTAGCAGTACTGCTGTGTTTGTTGTATCATATTGCTGTAATTGTTTTGAGGTAAGTTTATCTATAGTGTCACATGATATTGTGACACTGTAGGCAATCGGGGTGATCGTGGCTCAAGAGTTGGGAGTTTGCCTTGTAATTGGAAGGTTGCCGGTTTGAGCCCCGTCTTGGACAGTCTTGGTCGTTGTGTCCTTGGGCAAGACACTTCACCCGTTGCCTACTGGTGGTGGTCAGAGGGCCCGGTGGCGCCAGTGTCCGGCAGCCTCGCCTCTGTCAGTGCGCCTCAGGGTGGCTGTGGCTGCAATGTAGCTTGCCATCACCAGTGTGTGAATGACTGGTTGTGTAAAGCGCTTTGGGGTCCTTAGGGACTAGAAAAGCACTATACAAATACAGGCCATTTACCATTTATTCTATAAGGATGTTATGTGTTTGTGTACTTTCTGCCCAGTTTGACCCATTTAGCAGAAGTCAGCCTGTTTAAGGCTCTGATATCTATTCTGTATCACAGCTCGTAAATTTTCTTTTTACACATATATGTAAGCATTGAGCCAAATTTAGTAGTGCCAAAATATTAAAAGAACAATATTTGTCTCTTATATATATTCACACTGAAAAAGATACTTGTCTTTGAGTGAACATTTAAGATGATAGGAAATATAAATAACAACTTGAATCTTTACTGAAGCTCAGTATTTGACACAGAGTTCAAGTTACATCATTTTCCAAAGAGGTTCCTGCTTTATCTACAGCGTGAGTGTTGTCATGGTCTTTCTTGTCTATTGGAGTTCTGGGCTCCTCATTGAATCTCAGGTTTTTAGGGAGGTCAACTTGAATAATCGTGACATTCTTGGTATTATCGACATTATTATTATTATTGTTATATCAGAAGAATGTTGTACTATGTTGTTTACGCTGTCTGTTGTTTTCTGTGAAATACCAGCTGGCACTTCCATGTTGGGGTCAACTGTGTTAGAGGTCTGTGTAAGTTCAGGAGATGTCTGTCTTCTTTGAGGTCACTGCTTTTATGCTATTTTCTGTGATGTTGAACATTTCCATTGTTTTCTTCTGAGTGTCGTCACGGTCTTTTTTGTCTGTTGGAGTTCGGCGGTGATCGACCTTTTGGCTTTGCCTTAACCACTTTCCCCTTTTTCCTAGGCACTGGTGGTAGTGCTTTATCTCGAGGCAGTGTCAGCAACTGGTACAGGGATTTTGCCACTTTTGAAAAGTTTGGGATGTAGTGGAGCATGGTAGTTTATCTCTGAGAGCTTGTACAGGAGCTATTTCTGCTGGGTCCATGATATAACCCTCTTCGGACACCATCCGACCCAGGAAACGTACCTTTCTCTTGAAAATGTCACATTTCTGTGGGTTGAGTTTGACACCATGGTTTTGGTATCTCTGTCCAATTTAACTGGAGGGTCCCACTGAGGTGGCTTATGGCTGGAGGAGGGTGTGTTTATAACCTCATTCACCTGTATAGGAGGTTGTGAAGAAATCTGCTCCACCATGTCTTGTGTCTTTTCAGGGGTAATGGAGTACACTGCTTTTATTTCTTCCAGATGTACTAGAACAGTGTAAGGAATTAAGTTGACATTCCGCTTGTTGGTATTAGCAATCGCGACTGGGATGTACACTGACCTGCCCTCCGTTATTGTGACCAGTCCCTCAGGCAACTGTGATGGTTCATTTGGGACAAACAACAGACTCTGTCCTGAAAACTGGGCTCTAATGTGTGCACGGACATATGTGGTAGTAATGTGTTCAGCAGCCAGACATAGTCCCCTCTTTCCTGCTGGTAGTTTGCCCACACTTTGGCTTTGGTCTGGTAATTGCAATAGTTTTAGCACTGATTTAGCAGTGTTTAATGACAGGATCTGGCTGATTTTTCGAACATTTGCTTGCCCCATTTATTCACAACTTTCTCTATTGCATTAAATCCAATAATGGGCAGTTGTGCAACACTAGGGTCACTGCAAACAAGCATTGGAAATGGCCTGTATTTGTATAGCGCTTTACTAGTCCCTAAGGACCCCCAAAGCGCTTTACACATCCAGTTATCCACCCATTCACACACACATTCACACACTGGTGATGGCAAGCCACATTGTAGCCACAGCCACCCTGGGGCGCACTGACAGAGGCGAGGCTGCCGGACACTGGCGCCACCGGGCCCTCTGACCACCACCAGTAGGCAACGGGTGAAGTGTCTTGCCCAAGGACACAACGACCGAGACTGTCCAAGCCGGGGCTCGAACCGGCAACCTTCCGATTACAAGGCGAACTCCAACGAGCCTTGTCGTGGATCGTGGCTCCAACTCTTGAGCCACGATCGCTCACCACACTTCACAGAGATTTTGCTGCCAAGGATGGAGAGTCTCAGTTTAATTCTTTCTGAAGGTAACATCCCTCCCTCCCTCCCCTCCATTTTCAGGGTTACAGTCCAAAAAGAATTCTATCTCTATCCACCCATCACATGGGATTTCACCACCATTAGCCGCTAAAACTACTAGAGTTTCTGTTCTCAAAAGCTCAGCAAGTGGCCTGACAGTACTGTGTGGTAGGTGCTGTTTTCACCACTCATTGCTAATAAGACTTGAAAATAAGAACATAAAACCAACAAATCTCAGTAAAAGAACAGTAAAAAACAAAAGTCTCACCGTCTGTGTCTGCAGAGCATCAAACCTAAGAATCCTTAAAGATCTACATCGACATCCGCAAGAAGCTGAAGGCTCCAACCAGGTAACACACACACATCTCGTTTGCTATCCTTGTGGGGACATCCCATTGACATAATGCTTTCCTTAGCGGCTTACCCTAACCATCAAAAATGAATGACTAACACTGACCCTACACCTAAATGTAACCCTCACACAAAAAACACATTTTGAGTGTGAAAAATACCTTCAACAGTTTTTTTTTTTTTAAATTGTACTCGACCATAACAACCTCAAAAAGATGGTGCCCAAACAGATCCTTACTCTAAATGGTGTTACCTTGGCCTCCAGCAGTCCTGTGAGGAGTCTTGGAGTCATTTATAACCAGGATTTGTCCTTTAGTGATCACATTAGACAAATATGTAGGACTTCTTTCTTTCATATATGCAATATCACCAAAATTAAGAACATCCTCTCAAAGTGGAAACTGAAATATTGGTTCACGCATTTTCTACTTCCAGGATAGACTGTTGGAATTCATTATTGTCAGGTGTTCTTAAAGCTCATTGAAAAGCCTTTACCTGATCCAAATTTTGCAGAATATAACAGACGAGCTCCCAGTTTGGATTTAGGAACACTCTCTCTGCTTTTACTATTAGACTTCTGTTTTTAATAAAGCTTGTAGTTGGTGTTGTGTAGGTGTCAGGTGACAGGTGACAGTGAACCAAACCATGTTAGGAATGTTTCCACCCACATTTGGTTGAGACAGATTGCTGCCCTACTCTAATCCTGCTTCTGTTTGATGCATCTTCCTTCTGTCATAAAGTGTTCCACATGGGGGTTCATGCAATCACTGAGGTCTCTCTAATACTGTAAGGCCTTTACTTTGAGATAATAAGGCAACGTTTAGATGTTTAGATAGATGAAATAAAGTTGAGGCCTGCGGTGCCTATTAGGTGTGGAAGGGGAAAGATGCATCTACAGGGAGTGCAGAATTATTAGGCAAGTTGTATTTTTGAGGAATAATTTTATTATTGAACAACAACCATGTTCTCAATGAACCCAAAAAACTCATTAATATCAAAGCTGAATGTTTTTGGAAGTAGTTTTTAGTTTTAGCTATTTTAGGGGGATATCTGTGTGTGCAGGTGACTATTACTGTGCATAATTATTAGGCAACTTAACAAAAAACAAATTTAAACCCATTTACATTATTTATTTTTACCAGTGAAACCAATATAACATCTCCACATTCACAAATATACATTTCTGACATTCAAAAACAAAAGAAAAACAAATAGGCGACCAATATAGCCACCTTTCTTTGCAAGGACACTCAAAAGCCTGCCATCCATGGATTCTGTCAGTGTTTTGATCTGTTCACCATCAACATTGCGTGCAGCAGCAACCACAGCCTCCCAGACACTGTTCAGAGAGGTGTACTGTTTTCCCTCCTTGTAAATCTCACATTTGATGATGGACCACAGGTTGTCAATGGGGTTCAGATCAGGTGAACAAGGTGGCCATGTCATTAGTTTTTCTTCTTTTATACCCTTTCTTGCCAGCCACGCTGTGGAGTACTTGGACACATGTGATGGAGCATTGTCCTGCATGAAAATCATGTTTTTCTTGAAGGATGCAGACTTCTTCCTGTACCACTGCTTGAAGAAGGTGTCTTCCAGAAACTGGCAGTAGGACTGGGAGTTGAGCTTGACTCCATTCTCAACCCGAAAAGGCCCCACAAGCTCATCTTTGACGATACCAGCCCAAACCAGTACTCCACCTCCACCTTGCTGGCGTCTGAGTGGGACTGGAGCTCTCTGCCCTTTACCAATCCAGCCACGGGCCCATCCATCTGGCCCATCAAGACTCACTCTCATTTCATCAGTCCATAAAACCTTAGAAAAACCAGTCTTGAGATATTTCTTGGCCCAGTCTTGACGTTTCAGCTTGTGTGTCTTGTTCAGTGGTGGTCGTCTTTCAGCCTTTCTTACCTTGGCCATGTCTCTGAGTATTGCACACCTTGTGCTTTTGGGCACTCCAGTGATGTTGCAGCTCTGAAATATGGCCAAACTGGTGGCAAGTGGCATCTTGGCAGCTGCACGCTTGACTTTTCTCAGTTCATGGGCAGTTATTTTGCGCCTTGGTTTTTCCACACGCTTCTTGCGACCCTGTTGACTATTTTGAATGAAACACTTGATTGTTCGATGATCACGCTTCAGAAGCTTTGCAATTTTGAGACTGCTGCATCCCTCTGCAAGATATCTCACTATTTTTGACTTTTCTGAGCCTGCCAAGTCCTTCTTTTGACCCATTTTGCCAAAGGAAAGGACGTTGCCTAATAATTATGCACACCTGATATAGGGTGTTGATGTCATTAGACCACACCCCTTCTCATTACAGAGATGCACATCACCTAATATGCTTAATTGGTAGTAGGCTTTCGAGCCTATACAGCTTGGAGTAAGACAACATGCATGAAGAGGATGATGTGGACAAAATACTCATTTGCCTAATAATTCTGCACTCCCTGTATAGTTACCTGTGACTTCAAGTTGGACTTGAACTGGGACTGGCTCTTCTTCATTTTGACTTCAGACCTGAGACATAAACATCAGCCTGAACTGTGACTCACCTGTACTGAATATTTGGTACCTGATTTGGGCCGTGGTCCTCTTCAGTCATCGGGTTTTTATTTAGAGCTTGTTGGTCTGTGTTTGTCCTGTAAATGACCACCATCAGTTTCTTTACGCACTTCAACATCCTGGCATGTGACTTCTTTTAATCCTTCTCTCTCACTTCTCAGCTCCTCCCACCCTCAGCACTCCCTCTGGGCCTCTGAGCCCCTTCGCTCCCCTCCCATTGCTCACTGCAGCTGATCAGGTACCCCCCGCAGATGGCAGGGAGGCACCGTCATTGTTTGAGAGTTGCAGCTGGAGGGTGAAGGCTCGCACCATGTCTCCATCATAGAGACATGGTGTCTCAGTCCTCAGACCGGAGAGACCACCTGCAGCACGAGAAAGAGATGCTGATGGAGGAGGTCAAAGCTAAGAAGGTGATCAGTCGTTCGGTAATCATAAAACTTTATTGATCCCTGCTGCCACAGAAAATAGTCACAAACACACCGCCTGCTGCAGGAGCCGGTGTGGATCCTCCACAAAGCGCTGGAGGCGGCTTAGCTGGAGAAGTAAGTCTGCGCCGAGTTTTTGGCAGAGGAGGAACGTCTGGAGCTGCTGCGACACCGCGAGTGACAGGTGGCCGACCTGTGGGGTGGCTGGACGAGGCCAAGATGGAGGTGGAGGCGGTGAGGAAGAGTCTGGCTGAGAAGGCCACGCAGGTCACTGAGCTGCAGCAGAACATCAGGATGCTGATGGAGAAGAACAACGCCAAGCAGGAGGTGAGGACAAACCAGAGGTCGCTGTCAGACTGACCTCTGGTTGGTCACGTTAAAGTAACCTGCGCACGTTTGTTTCCATGACTGAAAGTTTCCCTGAGATCTGGAGCTGTTCCTGGAGCTGCTGCTGACTCAGGAAAAAACTGAGCATGGGTGGATGTTGAGACAGAGGGCCTCTCCCGTGCATTCAACGCTCCATCTAAATGACCAGCCCAGATGATGGATGTGTCATGTGATTCAGTGGAAAACTGAGAATCGTAGCCAAAAGAAAAAAGTGGAATACTTGAGGAAGATCACGGAGCAAAAGGCTCATTGAGTGAGAGCAGTGGGCAGGTTGGTGTTCTGCACCATTTAGTTAGGTCTCTTCAGAGGTGTTTTAAAAAAAAAATTTTTCTAAGGTTTTCAGTAGTTTCCATCCATGAGTGATTTGAATTAAAACTGAAGAAATCCTCCAATATGCGTCACAAATCTTCATTTAAATGTCCTATGATTTACCATGAAATTGAGACAGTACTGATCCAGTGGCATTGGCTCCACACAGTGGAGAGTTGTAGTAATGTCTAGAAAGTTCACTGACTCAGAAATAAACACACATTGAACACCAGCCCAAAGACACTTTGCTCAGGGACTCCATGCTGCCCTCAGTCCATTCATGAACTCCTCTTGGTCTGTATGCCGTCTGCAGCCAGAAGTGAAACCTTTGCCCTGCCAGCAGGATCTCCTGCAGTGAAACCTGCAGGATCTGCACAGCAGCCTACAGCTTATGTGCAAACTTCAATAAAAAAATCTTGGAAGAGACACATCTTTCCAATCCTCTGCAGGCTCCTACCCGCTGCTGGAGGAGGGAGAGCAATTTGACCTGACCATGGACACTCAGCGCATTTCTCCATAGGAGCTGTCAGGCAGGAAACTAGGAGGGGGGGAAGGAAAAAAAGAATGCTGCTTCTATAAGTGGCAGGAGTTCAGGCAGCAGTTTGATCTGCCGGAAGGCTCAAATTCCGAAGACATCACCTGCTAACTGGATTCAGGTGGGAAGTTCCACATCCAGGCATCCAAAAGTCTGTGTGAAGGAGGCTGAGACAGAAGTGAGTATGAAAAGGAGCTTTAGGGACTTTTTATGTTCAGTTACATTTGACTATTAATTTGAAAAACAATTTCACAGAGTTTATTTTGTTTAATGTTAAAATGGGCAAATTTCATCTATCATACTGTCCATTTCGCCTGTTTCAGATTTGAAGAAATTTTCATGTCTTAAGATTTTTTTTAACCTAACATTTCAATAATGGGAAGACTGATCAGAGTGGAGAAACTGAGAAAAGGTGACTTTATTTTACATGTTAAGATGTATTATAATAAAATAATAAGACATTTTAATTATGTTATTTTGCTTTGAAGTCCATCTTTTTCTTGGTATTATAATGAGAAGGCAAAACCCTGTCTCACAGCTTTAATGATGAAAGCTGAAACTACCTTAAAATATTCCTCTCATGAGAGGAATAAAACCTTTGATGGTGACTTGTCAACAAGATGAAGCGCTTATGTTTTAGTCTCCACAGCTCACGCTCAGTTTAGTGTTTGGACATCTTCTGGGTAATTACACATTGTCTTAATACGATTATTCAAGCATAAGTGGAAAGGAAAACACACATTAGATTTAGTAACGGCACACATTTACAATGTAAATTACATGTTGTTCAGCAAACGACACGTTCGTTTTTTAACAACAGCAGTTATTTTCTGCAGTGAAAGAAGAAATAAGGAAAAAAAACATTAAAGTAATCATGTGAGTGACACATAAGGTGCTTTATTGACCCCCTATTATTAAAGTAACACTACACAACTTTTAAAAGTAGAAAACTGCCCTTTTTCCCTATAATTCTACACTTAACAACCAATGATGTAAAAGTATGTTTCTGGACATTTCTGTTGAAGATTTGAGTTGTTAATTTTTAGATTCAGAGCCCATATTTTGTTCTTTCTAGAAGCCCATTTGACAGTGATTACAATGTTAAGCTGTCTTTGGATCGAGCAGTTTATCCCTTTCTGCCTGATCAGTGAGAGCCTTCTGCCTTCCCTTCCTGTACAGTCTTAGCTGTATGCTTCAGATCATTGGGGACCTTCACTTCAGTCTCATGTTGGTGCACTCTGGACCAGATTTCCTTCTCTGTAACATGTAATAATCCTCCCTTTGAGGTCATTGCTTAGAGGCACCTACATTATGTCATACTGCTCCAGCACGCTTTTTTCAGGGACAGTACTGTCAGGTAATGAGCTGTACCTGCAGTTTGTCAAACGAGTTGCTTGGAGTTCTCACCAAAGGGCTTAATTTATGTCTTATTACACCAGACAGTCTCTTATTCTAGTGCTCTCAAATGCTGTTTGGTGGGCAATCACACCTATTACTCAGAGCTGCTTTAGCATTAAGGCCTCTGTGCAAAAGCTAAGCTTTGTTAGAGTGACTGTTTGGTTGCACGCACGCACGCACGCACGCACGCACGCACGCACGCACGCACGCACGCACCCACACACACACAGCTTGGTGTCTTTCTAAACTATGTCCAATTAATCCAGTTTACCCCGGTTGGAATCCAATCAAGGTTTAGACACATGGCAATGCAGGCAGGAGACATCTGACCCCAATTTTTCGGGTGCTACAGCACCGAAATGATCTTAGTGCTTTTGTAAATGACAGATTTCACCTGTAACAGTTATATTAACTTGAAACTGCTTTTATTCAGATGATGGAGATGAGTAAACAAAGCAGACACACTGTGTGACCTGTGGATGCAGACCACCCTCAGACACAGACATCCAGATCAAAGCGTCTTTGTCCTCCTCTCCTTCTGCTCCTCGTTGTTTCCTTCAGGGGGTCACCACCATGCATCTTCCTTAGCATAATTTCTTCTGGCACCCTGCTAAGTAAGAGCTCCAGTGGTGGATGTTGTTAATCTGAGCCCAGCATGGAAGTCTCATTTGTGATGATCTGCATATTTGATTTGGCAAAGACTTTAAAACTCGCTGATGCAACCTTTCCCCATTTATCTGGGTTTGGGATTAGCATTTGGAGTACACTGGCTTGTGGTTTCAATGTGGCTCTACAACAGGGGTAGGCAACTCCAGGCCTCGAGTGCCAGTGTCCTGCAGGTTTTAGATGTGTCCATGATCCATCACAGCTGATTTAAAGGGCTAAATGACTCCTCAGCATTTCTGAAGTTCTCCAGAAGCCTGGTAATGAACTAATCATTTGATTCAGGTGTGTTAACCCAGGATGCGATCTAAAACCTGCAGGACACAGGCACGCGAGGCCTGGAGTTGCCTACCCCTGCTCTACAACTTCACATATATTAGGTAAGGCAAACACCAGAAAAACCAAAGCTTTCAAAAATGGAAAGAAATTAATAAAAGTTAAACTGTGAAAAAACCAAAAACCATGAAAAACATTTTTTGGGACTTTTTGGGACTAAAATCACAGAAATCCCACAGATTTCATGCCTCCCTCCCGTCTGGTTATTTGAGCTGGCAGTTATCAAAGTGACCTCTAGTGATAGCTTTTCATGTAGGTAGTTTTGAGTGTTTTTAATTTTTAGGTTTTTAGATGAGCTGAATGGAATTTGTGCCACTCAGAGCGTTCCAAATTAATAATCTCTTTTCAGAATTTGTGCCTAGTACAATGGAACTGAAGAGATAATCCACAGAATTAATTGTATGCATTTTCTATGGGAATATCTTCAACAGTCCACTACAAATCAATTGCCTGTAATGAGTGCAAATTGCCAAATGGGTATTAGTTGTTCCATCCACATGCTAACCAAGCTGAAGCATTTCCTCGTGGCTTGCGAGATCAGCTTTTTAGCAGACGGCCTGGCTTTTTTACAGAAGTGTCCTTGAGCAAGACACTTAATCCCACATGCTGCCTGATTTTTTTCACCCCAACCAGAGGGCAAAACATACTTTGATCCTTCATAAATTAAAGTACATCACATCAAATGAGGCTTAATGTGTTTGAATACCAATGTGCGGGAGGGATGTGCCTAAACTCTGAATTTGCATTTGTGAGATAATCGGTTTTATTTACACCTGCAGAGTCTGATGGAAGTTATTATGGCTCTCATGCTGATACTATAATGATGCTTCAGGTGTTAGTCTGTAGTAAAGTTAAGTGCTTTCCCCAGTGATGAATTTGTTTCTGCAAAAGCAACAACAAAAAACAGAAAAACCCAGAGCAATGTAGATTGCAGCCACATGTAAGTGGTGAAAATCGAATGACTGCAGAGTAAACAATAAGAAAACTATTTGTTGTGCTTGCCTGTGTGGGCATTAACAAGAGTCTGGCTCCCTTGTTGCAGTCTGCTAATCAATGACATCCTTACAAACTCCATGTCGGTGCTTTGATTGCTTGCAGATGTGACGGTGTCTTTCTCTGAATACTCATCAGGTTGTGAGATTTCACCACTCAGACAACAACCTGTCTAGATGACCACTGGGACTATTTTTATGCCACCAAGCTGACAACCTGCCAGCAAAAAAGAAAATTAAAGCTAAAAGAAACAAGGGCAACTTGATTGATGTCACTGATTAAAAAGAACCCTGTATTTATGTGGAGGCAATGTTCACCCTCAACAATTTTTAAATGGAAACTAAAGAAAGCTCAGTGAGCTATTGTGTGGTAAATGCATTCAGTCAGCTCTCAGTCTCAGTGGACATGAAGTTTTTTGTTTAAAAAAAAAACCAAAAAACAAAAAACTATGAATCTCAGCCCTGCAGGTAAAAAGATCCCTTTGTTGCTGATTCATCTGCTGTTTCAGCACCCTGCAGGTCCAGTACAAAGCACTGGGTGGTGGTAGAGCTCCACATCTCTGCACAATAGCGGAATAATAGAAAGATCAGACAGGAGGAGATCAATACAACTAAGAAACATTAAATAATATCAATATCAATCAGTATCAATTATAATTTCTTATAGTGCCTTTTGATATTCTTTCCCTGGTATATGCAAGTTGTGTTGCACTAAAGATGCTTCACTGGCATGTAAACACACAGCTATCGAGCCTAAATGTTTGTATGACTGCGTGTCACAGTCATTGACTGTTGTTATGATGCTATTTTTTATGAAATTCTGTGTTAATTTTATGTCAGATGCATTGGGCCAAAAATCTTGCAGATTATCAAGATGTTTTTTGGAAAATGTGAAACGAGTGTTTGAGTTCAGCACTTTTCTCCTTGGAACCGTCCCATTAATGTAATCTTTTCCACAGTTTCCTTGTCTGCATTTTGTATCCACTCAGGTTATCTTTTTCTGATACTGAAATTTGTTTGTTTGATAATCTGAAAAATTTTATTGACTCAAACATGCAAAATCTAGTTAATCAGGAAGGGGGCAAATACTTTTTCCCAACACTGAAATAAAGGAATATGTTGTATGTGCTGACCTATTTAAATGATACACAAAGATCCACAGTAGGATTCTGGACAAGGAAAACTACTGGAAAGAAGAAGTGGCACCTGAAAATTGTGCTGCTTTCAGAGTGTGCATCATAAAACTGCTGTGGAATAATGCAGATTTCCACTTAACAGGGCCAGTGGTTCCTATCCACTGGCCCTGTTAAGTGGAAATCTGCATTATTATTAAGTGGAAATACCTAAAGTGTCCTAGGAATAGAAACTGAAGGCTTATCTTGATGGCAGGTCAGTAAGTGTTTCTTATAGGTGAGTGGGCAACAGATTTTAAAGTACTCTTTAGAACTGCTAAGATTTAAAAGCACTACATACTGCTAGTGTAGACCATTTAATGTGAACCTTGCACAACAGGGAGAAAAGAAGGAAGAGTTTAAAGTGACAGTGCCGCTTTCACAGTAAGTTTACTTGACCAACAAAAGGCTCAACATATAAAGAAAAAAAAATCTGAAGTATGAAAGATAGTGAAGAGGTGCAGAAAGTGCAGAGAGGGGGCTGGAGGGATGAGAGATAAGAGCTTGAAGAGCATCAGGGAGTGCCTGATAGAGGCAGCGAAAGGTGTAGAGAAGGAGATGATCGTTTTCAAGAAGACACTGATAAACTAGGATCTCTTTCACTGGGCTCGTACTGAAGAGCTGAAAACAGGAGGGCTGGGTGTAGAGGCCTGACAGGCAGCTGACCATCAAGCCGAAAGCCACGTTGAAGCTCTTCTGCTGCCGAAAGTGAGGAAAATATCTAGTGTGAGACACTGATAGCTAGGACATCGTTTTTTACTGGACATATCTAAGGAAACAGATTTGGGGTTAGTGCATCAACACAGAGTAGAAAGCCAAAGTAAGCATGAAAGCCAGTCACTTATGACAC